TGTGAAATTCGATGTAGTGTGCACTCCAGGCGGCTAGGTGGCAATGTGAAGCACAGCCACACAACAACACCAATATCTTAGAATATTTTGTACAACTGCTAAAAAGACTCTTGTATGTTTTTCAGAGCTGCTAGGGCAACTTGAAGGTCCGACGTATGGAAATAATCTGACATGTTGGTTGTTATTTTCCTGTACTAGCGCATGCCTGTGACGTAAACACGTACGCGACGAGAGCCACCGTGAGCAGATTTGCGTTTTTACCGTTTAGACGGGAACGCGGCGGTGGAGCGTTTTTAAGATTTCCACTTTGGAGGGTGGTTTCACTTTTTTGCGTTTTTAAGCCCCCAAAACGCTGTTGCCGTGTAAACGAAAGGCACATCCGATAAAATAGTTTTACGTTTTCACCCGGAATCGTTCTCGTGTAAACGGGGCCTTAGCCTACCATGGATTTACTGTAAGGTTAGCCTAGTAATATTAACTGCACCATGAAATGTGGGATATACATATTGAATTGTCTAATATTATTAATGTAGACAATGTATTAAATGACTACTGGAATATAATTACAGTATTTAATAATGTATTTAACTGTTAGGCTACTGTTTTTCATACAAATACCATAGAAACCATAAAGTTACATTTTGCCATGATAGTGAGGTGCTATAGGCTGTACCTGGCTTTATCTGTGGTTATCATGATCTAAATGCATAATACTGGATGACCAATGGTTAATTTTAATAAAACTCAAACAGTCAGAATATTACATTTTACCAAATAAAAATGTGGTCCTTAAATAAAACAAAAACAAAAAACAGATGTTACGGTTTTTGTTAATGAACATAAATTTAACATAGTAGTATTAGCTTGAGTCAGGATGCAGATTTACTGTCAACTCACTGTCAAATATGCGTTTTGAGACAAACATGCAATACTAATATTGCAGCCTGCACTGCAAACTGTGCTGAAGAAATATTTTTCTTTTCAGATATTTATTTTGTTAAGGAAAAATTACAAATGTTTGAATGTTCTACCTCAGATTTTTAAAACCACAACGCTCTGGTTTATACAACTTTCACTTAGGAGCCTTTAAACTTGAAAGAAATAAAGATTTGACATTTATCGTGATAATTATCGATATCGACTGATATAAAAAAAATTATCGTGATAATTTTTTTGGCCATATCGCCCAGCCCTAGATAACATTGTATCTATAATGTATAAGAAAATGACAAAAAAAAACAGCACTCCGAAACGTCCTGTGAAATCCGTGCTTGCAAAATCTGTGCATGGAATCCGTTCTGCAGGGTGGAATCCGTTCTTGTTTGTTAACGTTGTCAGGGTCTGAATCGGGCTTGAAATGGTTTGAAATGGTTTGAAATTTATGCCATCAATAATATTTACAGTAGAGAAGATCTTGCCGTTATGGAGGGGCGGGACATTTCCTGAACACGTGCTACATGGTGCCCATCACAACTAGGGGTGGGAATCTCTAGGCACCTCACGATTCGATTCGATTACGATTCAGAGGGCTGCGATTCGATGCTAAATCGATTATCAGAATCTTTTTTGTGTGTGTGTGTGACTATAAATACTTTGCTTTAAAAGTACAAAGTAATGACCCATAAAGAATTAACGTACAATATATTTTATTAACATTGCAAAGAACCAACAGGAAAATACATGTGTGTCTGAACTAGCAGCAGCATATTTGTAGTAAATTAATAATATAACAACGACCGGTAACGTTACAGCCGAGTGTTTTTCCTCCTCTGGCTGGAAACGTGTCATTTGGCTTCATGTGTCTTGTTTCCGAAATATTTTAGTTTTACTCTACAAAGCTTACAACTAGTGTGGCTCTTGTCCAGCTCCTTTCCCCCTTCAACTTCAGAAGCCAAAATATTTCCACACGTCAGCTTTTAACGAGGAGGGTGTTTGGATTTGGCGCTCAGCCATCGCGTCTGTTATGTGCACGCCACAGACGGTCCGGCCACTGCACTTCCGCGCTTCAGAGTTCCGTCTTTCGCGTTCCGTCAATATTACGTTATTATAAATATATATCTAAACATTTTTTTTTTTTTTGAAAATCGATTTTTGACAATTGTGAATCGATTCAGAATCGTCCACGTCCGCATCGCGATGCATCTAAGAATCGATTTTTTCCCCCACCCCTAATCACAACACACTGGGCCAGCTAACCAATCACAGCACATGTTGTATTTCGGAAGGAGGAGCTTCATCGAAGTTCACTGCTGGAATGGTTTAGCTCTGTTTCACGTGGAAGCTGTGCGGGCGGTGCAAGAGAAAGAGGTTGAGGTTGGAATGTGGCCTCGTATAATCGCCTGTTAACGGATGACATACAGCTTGTGTACAAGCTGCAGCTAATTATTGCGCCAAGGGAAAGCGACCAATAGAAACAGGTCTAGAAAAGAGTTGTCATTATTTTACTTTGATACACAATCAGATGGTAAAAGCAGGTCATTTGTAACTTCATCAAGCAGTTTCTATGCAATGATGGGGCTTAAATCCTGATTGAAATGCTTCACAAATACAGTTTATCTGGTTCAGAAGACACAATTATTCTGATTTTTAAACATTACATTCAGTTTCATATGTTGGTTATTTTTATATCATTGTTTTGTTTTTCTCTTGATCTGCTGTGATCTCTCGCTTGCATCTGTGTTTTGGTTTTAGGTTTGGTCGATTGGGGTGTTTTATCTCCATGTGCCAGCGATAGGTTATTCCAAAGTTATAATAAACATATTCTGCGTGCTTCCTGACAAAAGTAAAGTATGAGATTGAGATCAGTCTATCCTGGGTCAAATCGTTTCGTTTTTTATTACTAAGGGTGTATTCACACCTGGCTTGTTTGGTTCGATTGAATCGAACTCTAGTTTGTTTCCCCCCTTGGTGCGGATCTTTTGGGCAGGTGTGAATACAGCAATCGAACTCGGGTGCAGACCAAACAACCGAACCGAGACCCAGCTGAAGAGGTGGTCTCGGTACGGTTCCAAACGAACTCTGGTACGGTTCGTTTACGGTGTGAACATGAACCGACCCAATTGCAAGAAAGCACTGCGCCTTTGAGTTAAAAGGCTTCCGTAGTCGGAGATTTTGGCATAATGGTTTGTGTTATTGCTGTTTAAGGGGGCTTTCACACTGGCAGTTTACAGTAAACCTGTATTGTTCACTCAACTGCGCATAATAGCAGCTAATTAATAAAAAAAAAAACAATATTGACCCACGTTCTGTTTTCTATCATGCGCCGTGCACGTTCGCGATGACGTCATATGCACGCAAACGCACCAGGGTTTGATAGAATCAAGGGGTGCTTCTCATTTCTTATTTGTGCATCCTCGTTTCCTTTCCTCGCTTCCTTTCCTCGCGTCTCAGCTCCGCCCCCTGTAGGACGCGAGGAAAGGCTGCAAGGAAAATAAATGAGGACGGAGGAATCGAATGAAAGCTTTTTTATACATTGGAATACTTGATCACTCGAGCGTCACTTCACTGCGTCATCAGCAGTCCTCAAAGGATCTGCCCTTATGTTGTTAAAGTTTGTTTATTTAAGAAATTCATAATAAATAATAATAAAGCAAGATACCTTGTTGAAATATGTGAGTTGTGCGGTTTATGTAAACTACAAAAGTAAAGTATAAATTCAAATGTTTGTGACAGATGTGAAGGGGGAGGAGAATTGATACGTGCGTCATGTTTAGTCGATAAAACTCTTCCGCAAAGGGTACACCTGTGTATCCTCGCTCATAGCTCCTCTGGAAGCCTCCTCACTCCTCGATCCTCGCCTCCTCGCGGTGCAATTAGAGAATTGAGATGTCCTTCAAGATGGCTGAGCTCGATTGGTTTCCGGGTCATAGGATGGAGGACGGAGGAGCGAGGAGACGAGGAGGGATATTGAGAAGCACCCAAGTTGTGTGTGAAACCAGACCAACGCTGCGGGGGACGCCGGGAACAAACGCGCTCTGGCTCGGACCGCAGCAAACGAGCCCAGTGTAAAAGCCCCCTTAGTGCGAAAGAGAATTCCATTCCGGCGCGCTGTCTGGCCACACGATACTGTTGCGCGTCTTTCTGCGCGCCGTGTGTGCGTCATTGGAATGGAATGAATGAATCAGTGTGTGCATCAGGACATTCACATACAGCGCGTTCTCTTTGGTCTAATCGCGCATAGATGCAAAAAAAGCTTTTGCAGTTCATATAATGTAACGATAGTTACAAAACAAGGATGACGCTGCGTTAAACTGGACAAACTTCAATCGCAAGCGTTAACGTTGACAGCACTTGTTAGCAGTAGCCTATATACAATAAGATTCTCATTATTTGAATGTGTGAACATAGCCCCTCTCTATGAATCAAAACTTTATACCTTATCCGTCTTCTGCGCAGTTTCTTCATATTGCGTTTGTACAGAATAACACAAAATTAGTAAAATAACAAATATTGCAGTACGAAATATCTCCATGCTGAGCCTTTTTTGCACTTCCTGATTTCCCTACTTGAGAATCCTTGTCCAATGAATGGACGACCTTAGCACACGTGTGGTTTTGTTGACAAATTTTGGTTCACTTGCAAAAAGAGCAGTGTGAAAGCGAACCGTACCAAAAAAAAAAAAAATTTGAAAAAAAATTATTTGGTCCGGACCAAAGCAAGTGAACTATCGGACTTTCCTGGTGTGAATACACCCTAAGGCTTTAACTGCCATCTGGGTACAAGATGGTTAAATTGGTTAACATGCTTTACATGTATAAAAGTTTTGATGTCTGTTGCTTTGTGCCATTATACTGGGGTTAACAATTTGTTTCTCTTTTTTGTCCTTAGACCTGATGGCACTGAAAGAGGAGACTGAAGTACTGAATGAAATGGAAGGGAATGACCAATATAACAATCAGCATGTTTTCATTACTGGAGAAAAGTCCTCACGAGAAATGGCTAAAAAAAACAGGGCTATAAGTCATTTCAGCTACAATCAAACAAGAAGCTTTAACAGGCACATGGAAATTCACACTGATAAGCCTTACATGTGCCCTCAGTGTGGAAATAGTTTCAAACAGAGAGGACACCTTAAAGACCACATAAGAATTCACACTGGAGAGAAACCTTTCACCTGCGAACATTGTGGAAAAAGTTTCACCCGAAAAGGAATCCTTAACAAGCACATGCAAACTCACACTGGAGAGAAGCCTTATACATACTCTCAGTGTGGAAAGACAATCCACAAGAGAGTTTACACTGGAGAGACCCCTTTCACCTGTCAACAGTGTGGGAAAAGTTTCAACCAAAAAGGAAACCTAAATTACCACATGAAAATTCACTCTGGAGGTAAGCCTTTCACCTGCAAACAATGTGGAAAAAGTTTCAATCAAAAAGGAAACCTTCATAGGCACTTTTTAGCAGTAGGTGTTGTTTAACAATAGCATTCAAGAAAGAAATTAAATGAACAGATATAAAAATAAAACACTACATAGACATTACTGTATAAATTATACATTGATTCTTATTAAAGCTACTTTTAAAGTTCTCAGTTAAGAGCAGTGAGTGATTTTCTCTTTGTGTTTTGTTGTTTTATTAACATTAAAGAATTAGTTCCCCCAAAATAAAAATTGTCATCATTTACTCTCTCAAGTCGTTTTTAACCGGAATAAGTTTCTTTCTTCTGTTGAAAATAAGTTATTTTGAAGAATGAGGGTAACAGAACAGTTGCTGGTCCCCAGTGATTCCTATAGTATATTTTCTCCTATGGAAGTCAATGGGGACCAGCAACTGTTTGGATAGCCACTTTTTTTTTTTTTTTTTTTTTTTAGCACAAGAAAGAAATGAATACTGATTTGGAACAACATTAGAGAGTAAATAATGACAGCATTTTCATTTTTGGGTGAACTATCCCTTTAAGGCAGTGGTTCTCAAACTTTTTCGGTCATTCCCCACTTTGGACAAGGGGGAATTTTCAAGCCCCACTGCCCCCATCGCCCCGACATAATGCTAATGAAATACGTAACAAGCTTAAAATGTTCCAATTTATTGAAGTAACAAGTAGTATCAGTATAGTAACAAGTTGTATCTAAATACAAACTAACTATATATCTACATCAAATAACAGCAAGTTCAAAAATAAAGAAAATGAAGTGCATCTGTGTCATAACTTGCATGAAATTCAAAAATAGAGTAAATAAAAGTGCCTCAAAAATAGAAAAGAAATAAAAGTGCCACTTTGCAATCTGTTAAAAAAAGAAAAGAAGAGAAATCCATTTGGCAAGACAGGTCTATTTATCCCTGCATTAGTGACTGCAATGAGCCTGTTTTGCATTGCACAATTTCTCAAAGCAGGGTTGCAGGCTTGATACTGCCACTCTCAAATCATGTTCAATGTTCAGAGAAATTTCATGTCTTGTCGTAAGGCACAACATAATGACGTCTCATATTTTCCAACCCAGCCCTCAGCCCCCAGTTACGCATGAAACAGCTTCCAGCGCGCCTGGCCATCGGCGCGAAACATAGGCTACATATCTATGGGCGCAAAAGTTTGTTCCGCTACAATTAATATGTCGATGTCACGTCAATCATTATTTTGGGGGTGGGGAATTCCTGTTACTTGTTGTCGCCCCCGGGGGTGATCGGTCTAATAAGCGGCAAGACACAGCTATAAGGACGGTTTGCTCTCACACGCGCTGCATTAATAGTCACACACACACACACGCAGTCACTCTCTACTCTAGTGCGCGGTCTTGCTCCAGATTCCGGGAGATTGGATCTCATTTGCGGGCGTCAAGGAGCCGCTATCAATATGCGGGAGACTCCCGGAACTTCCGGGACATTTGGGATGTCTGGATAAAGATATAAAGGCATAAAAAGGAAAATTTCCTCCCGTTTGGCTCGGCCCACCTGTTACGTCTCGATTCCCCACCAGTGGGGCGCGCCACACACTTTGAGAACCGCTGCTTTAAGGGCAAGCGGCCGCATGTGTACTATTGGGCTACTGTCCCTTTAAGACCAGCGCATCAAACGCATATGACACGCACCCTATTTTCTCTCAAATGTGTGCTTTCACTTTAGACATAAGTTAACCCATACCTGCCAACTTTTGAGTTTTGCTCGGAGTGAGATTTGTTGACGGGGGGTTGTTGGGCGAGACGATTGAGATTTGTTGACTGGGGGTTGGGCGAGAGTTTGGAGCACAATCTCTGCCTCGCATGCACGCTCGCTCTAGATTGCGGGAGATTTTTAACGAATTTGCGGTATAACTAGTCGATCACGAGTGGCTCAACGGGTAGATCTGTAGATAAACTCATCTTTCAGGCATTTGACCGGCCGGGTTGACACTTCAGCGTGAGATATCGGGAGTGTGGCGTGTGAGCGTGTGAAACCAATCAAATGCGGGTGTCTCACGGCTAATGCGTGAGAGTTGGCAGCTCTGGTTAACCAACTGTGTTTATGTAAACCTTGTGTGTATTTGACAGTATTAGCGCAATAAGACTTGAAAGATAACTTAGTCCAGTAACCAGGCACTGTTTAACGTTTTAGTGTGCGTGTGCTTCGGGTGTAACCGCTCAGAAAAACGCATGTTAGTTAGAACCGCGCAACAGCACGCGAATGAAATGTTTAACAGGCAAAGCTTTAATGCACAGGCAAATAATTAACTTTTATGAACTGCAGTCTCCCGTCCCGTGAGTGTAACTCTACCGCTGCGTTAACGTGATGTGTACGTCGCGTTGAGCATGTTGAGATGGAGGCGCCAGAACTGAACTGATAGAATGCACTAGCTGTAGCACGATACTACGATATTTCTTCAAAAGCAGATCGTGGAGGCATTTTAATCGTCCACGATCAAAACCCGTGATATCGCACACCCCTAATGGGAAACGAGAAGTAGTCCAAGCACTGAGCCCTGAGGCACTCCAGTAGCTAGATGTTACAACTTAGACACCACACCCCTCCACGACATCCTAAAGGACCTACCTGAGAGGCAAGACTCGAAATTCTTCACAAATACAGTTTATCTGGTTCAGAAGACACAATTGTTCTGATTTTTAAACATTACATTCAGTTTCATATGTTGGTTATTTTTATATCATTGTTTTGTTTTTCTCTTGATCTGCTGTGATCTCTCTTGCATCTGTGAGTGTTTTGGTTTTAGGTTTGGTCTGCCACCGATAGGTTATTCCAAAGTTATAATAAACATATTCTGCGTGCTTCCTGACAAAAGTAAAGTATGAGATTGAGATCAGTCTATCCTGGGTCAAATCGTTTTGTTTTTTATTACTAAGGCTTTAACTGCCATCTGGGTACAAGATGGTTAAATTGGTTAACATGCTTTACATGTATAAAAGTTTTGATGTCTGTTGCTTTGTGCCATTAAACTGGGGTTAACTATTTTTTTTCTCTTTTTTTGTCCTTAGACCTGATGGCACTGAAAGATGAGACTGAAGTACTGAATGAAATGGAAGGGAATGACCAATATAACAATCAGCATGTTTTCGTTACTGGAGAAAAGTCCTCACGAGAAATGGCTAAAAAAAACAGGGCTATAAGTCATTTCAGCTACAATCAAACAGGAAGCTTTAACAGGCACATGGAAATTCACACTGATAAGCCTTACATGTGCCCTCAGTGTGGAAATAGTTTCAAACAGAGAGGACACCTTAAAGACCACATAAGAATTCACACTGGAGAGAAACCTTTCACCTGCGAACATTGTGGAAAAAGTTTCACCCGAAAAGGAATCCTTAACAAGCACATGCAAACTCACACTGGAGAGAAGCCTTACTCTCAGTGTGGAAAGACAATCCACAAGAGAGTTTACACTGGAGAGACCCCTTTCACCTGTCAACAGTGTGGGAAAAGTTTCAACCAAAAAGGAAACCTAAATTACCACATGAAAATTCACACTGGAGGTAAGCCTTTCACCTGCAAACAATGTGGAAAAAGTTTCAATCAAAAAGGAAACCTTCATAGGCACATGAGGATTCACACTGGAAAGAAGCCTTACACCTGCCAGCAGTGTGGAAAGAGTTTTGATCAACATGTACACCTTAAAGTCCACATGAGACTTCACACTGGGGAGAAGCCTTACACCTGCCAGCAGTGTGGAAAAAGTTTCACCCGAAAAAGAAACCTTAATTTCCACATGAAAATTCACATTGCTACCAGTGTGGAATACGTTTCACTCTAAAAGCCTTAATAGGCACATGAACATTAACACTGGAGAGAAGTCGTTTATATGTGGTCAAGGTATAACCACATATAAGAGTTTCAGATATGAAGAGACCTTTGTGTACCACATGAGAATTCATGTATGAGAACTCTTTTACAGTTTTACAGACAAGAATCACCTTAGGAATCATGTAATAACTCACACCAGAGAGAAGCCTTTCATGTCTCATCACTGTAGAAAGACTTGCAGAAATAATGCAAACCCTGAGGTTTACATAAGCATCCTCGACATACTCGAAAACATAATACGATATAATACATAAAACGATATACCCTGATATAGATCAAGTTGTTTTTGGTTCTTTGCTTAGGGGTTAAAGAGGTTCAAGATACCTGAGCAGCAGACTTAGCAAACATCCCAAGTGTAATTTAGATGAATATGTGAATGTGCTGCACATTTTCCTTTCAATGACAAAATAAAACCGATGAGAAAACTGCATTTGTGGAAGCATCTGATCATAGCAATGTGAATTTTTGCATTAGCTCTACAATTCAGCACTGAAGTTGTCATGTTCCGTTTATTTATACAATAGATTTTCTTTAAAGAAAGTAGCTTTACAATATTAAACATTGTCACCCTCCATTAGAATTACAACTTCATTTTCTATAATCGACACTGTCGATCACGACATACTTCTTGACCGGCTGGAAAACTGGGTCGGGCTTTCTGGGATAGTTCTAAAATGGTTCAGGTCATACTTAGAAGGGAGAGGTTATTATGTGAGTATAGGAGACCATAAGTCTGAGTGGACATCCATGACATGCGGAGTCCCTCAAGGCTCAATTCTTGCACCGCTCCTTTTCAACCTGTACATGCTCCCAATGAGCCAAATAATGAGAAAGAACCAAATCTCTTACCACAGCTATGCAGACGACACACAGCTCTACTTAGCCCTATCGCCTAACGACTACAGCCCCATTGACTCCCTGTGCCAATGCATTGAGGAAGTAAACAATTGGATGTGCCAAAACTTTCTTCAGTTAAACAAAGACAAAACTGAAGTCATTGCGTTTGGCAACAAAGATGCAGACTGATCTCATGAAATGGCGTATGTATGACACGCCAATTCATATTTCCATTTTTGGCGTGCTATCAACACGCATAATCGCTTTTCAGCCTGTTTATCAACGCCTTGACTTAACATTACATTACTGTATAAATATATGACCTACCCCAACCCCGTCCCTAAACCTACCCGTCACTGGGGTTAATACCATTTATGAGTCTTCCCCTACCATCCTAGGAAAAAAAATATTGGTCCACAGATGTAAATATACATTTTGCTTCGTTTCGCTCGTACATTTAACGACGTGTACATACACGCGGAATCACTCGGACATTTAACGGCGTACACATACACGCAAAAGATGACGGTTAATTTCGGCCTAGACATACACGCGGATAGCTCAAAATGCGTATAGATAACACGCCACTTGACTTGAAAGTGGCGTGTATGTTTACGCAAAGTCATGATGTCATGTTGAAAGATGAAGTTCTCAAGGTGAATGCATACCTTGACGCTAGGGGTCTAACAACTAAAAATCAAGTCAGGAATCTTGGTGTGCCTCTAGAGTCAGACCTTAGTTTCAGTAGTCATGTCAAAGCAATAACTAAATCAGCATACTATCATCTGAAAAATATTACAAGAATTAGATGCTTTGTTTCCAGTCAAAACTTAGAGAAACTTGTGCATGCTTTTATCACCAGCAGGGTGGATTATTGTAATGGACTCCTCACTGGCCTTCCTAAAAAGACCATAAGACAGTTGCAGCTCATACAGAACGCTGCTGCCAGGATCCTGAGCAGAACCAGAAAATATGAACACATCACACCAGTCCTCAGGTCTTTACACTGGCTCCCAGTTACTTTTAGGATTGATTTTAAAGTATTATTACTGGTATATAAATCATTTAATGGCCTAGGACCTAAATACATTGCAGATATGCTCACTGAATATAAACCCAACAGATCACTCAGATCATTAGGATCACATCAGCTAGAAATACCAAGGGTTCACTCAAAGCATGGAGAGTCTGCTTTTAGCTATTATGCTGGAACCAGCTTCCAGAAGAGATCAGATGTGCTCCTACAGTAGTTACATTCAAATCCAGACTCAAGACACTTCTGTTTAGCTATGCATTTACTGAATGAGCACTGTGCCACTGTGTCCGACTGTTTGTACTGTATTTTATTTTATTTTTTATTCTAAACTGTTTTAATTATTCCTATTTCTTTAGATTTTTCTATGTAAAGCACTTTGAATTACCATTGTGTATGAAATGTGCTATATAAATAAACTTGCCATGCCTTGCCTATAATAAAGAAGCTGTTGTCAAAGAATTTAGAGCCCAAGAAAACACCAACCTATTAACCTAACCAATGAATGATTTTTACGATATTTAGAGTAAACAGATATTAAATACGTCAGGCTAGAAACATGACCTCTTTCAATGTCAACAACATCATGGTGTTTAACCAGTAGTAGAGAGGAAGATATGATGGGTTCACATGCTGATGGAACTGTGGTGCTACAGCGATCTGTCACCACACATTAAAGAGACACAAAAACATATTTATGTTTGAAACTAGTGATAATTTAAAAGTTGAGATTGTGTTTACATTTACAAGTAATCATTTAGCAGACGCTTTTATCCAAAGCGACTTACAAATGAGGAGAGCAATAGAAGCAATCAAACTAACAATAGGGCAACAATATGCAAGTTATGTGACCAGTACCAGTTAGACTAGCACAGTACAGGTAGCAAAGTAAAAAAAAAATAGATATAGAATAGTAAGAGTTAGTATTAATGGGTCAGGTGTTGCTGAAAAAGATGTGTGTTCAGCAGCTGCTCGGGTTGAGTTAGGCAGGTCATTACACCAGCAGGGAACAGTCCAGGTAAATGTCAGTTGCAGAGATTTGGCAGTGCATCCTAGAAGGCCTGCCAAGAGACCATTACAATAGTCTGGATAGAACAAGAGCTTGGACAATAAGTTGTGTTGCTGCTCCGATAGGAAGGGCATGATCTACCCAATGTTGTGTGAGGCAAATCTGCAGGACCAGTTCTAGCAATGTGGTCTGTGAAGTTCAATTGATCATCAATCACAACTCCAAGGCTGTCCTGGATGGAGTTATGGATGATGAACCTAGCTGAATGAAGAAGTTGTGATGAAGTGCTGGGTTGGTCGAGAACACAAGCAGATCTGTCTTCGCAAGGTTTAGTTGAAGGTGGTGGTCCTTCATTCAGCAAGTAATGTCTGTCAGGCAGGCTGAGATGCGAGCAGCTATCGTTGGATCCTCTGGTTGGAATGAAAGGTAGAGTTGCGTGTCATCAGCAAAGGAGAGGTAGGAAAAACCATGTTCCTGAATGACAGATTCTAGTGATAACATGTAGATGGGAAACGAGAAGTCGTCCAAGCACTGAGCCCTGAGGCACTCCAGTAGCTAGATGCTACAACTTAGACACCACACCCCTCCACGACATCCTAAAGGACCTACCTGAGAGGCAAGACTCGAACCGTTGGATTGCGGTTCTTGAGATGGCCTTTGTCTTGCGTATAAGTGTAACAGTGTGAAGAGAGGTGTTGATGATACGTGTGAGTGATTCAACTGAAGAAAAATGGCTTGAAGGAGATGAATTGTGGTGTGGAAAAACACACGCTAATGGCTGTTGATTTATTTATGAAGAATGTGGCAAAGTGCACTATTAATATCTAGTGATGAGAGCTAAGTGTGTATGAGACCAAAGAGGAGGATGAGAGTGAGCATAGGTTATCCTGAAAGGTGACCTGTGGAGGAGTGTGAGTTGTTTCCTTAGCCATGCAGATTATGGAAATCAGCAGCCTGAGGTTTTTCTAGGTGGATGTTGAAGTCTACCAAGAGCTACTCGACGATTACCATCTTCAGGGAAGGATGAAAGTAACACATCCAACTCCTCCAATAAATTGCCAAGCAGACCTGGGAGATGATATACAACTACAAAATGGATTTTAATAGGGTTGGTGATTCAAATTAGCTATTGTCATAAAGAGATCGTAAAGGAATACATTTCCCATCATTGGAGATGAGCAGACCAGTACCCCCACCCCTCCCAGTCAGACGAGGGGTGTGTGAAAAAGTGAAGTTTGTGGAGAAGGGCTGTAGGTGTGGTAGTGTCCTCTGGTCTGACCCAGGTCTTAGTCAGGGCCATGAGGTTGAAACCTGAATGACTAGAAATAGTTGTAATGAAGTCAGCTTTGTTTACAGCAGACTGGCAATTCCAGAGACCAACAGGAAAAAAAAGTAATGTACTAGAAGACACAGGGAAAGTATGCAGGTTGTTAGGATTGCGCTGCCTTTTACTTGAGATGTGATTTACGAGTGTTAGTAATAGTAGGGATTTGGAAGCACAGTGAAAACAGGTCACAAAAACAAACAGATGACAACAAGCTGTATAAAAGGAAAGGAAAACAATAGTCAAGTGCCTTGTATGTGTCCTTTGTCGGTGGAGTCGCTTGTCTTTACACTCTTCGGTCTTCACACGAGAACTGCCACGGTATGCTAATTGATACTCGCCTGAAAATGTCGTTATTGAGTTCAGCTGGCCACGCCTCACTACCGAAACTGTTCAACTTCAGCAACGCGACTACAGCACGTGAACACAGTAAGCAAACAATGTTTCCGAGTATGGACAACTGTGCTAGAATTAAATGAGAAAAAGATACAAAACACTAAGTTACTGTCTCCTCCTTTTGCTTGACTGCTTCTTTCTGATGACCAGACTGTCGGACTGTACTTTTCCAAGTTCTTAATTGATTAAGTTCACATCTTCCTCAGTTTAAATGTTAATGTCTTTTATCATGTAAACATTGTTTTTTAAACATAGTTATGAATTTTATTGCAATAGATTATTGACCTAAGTAGCTGCCGTTGCACACTGTGATGTCATATATAGTATGAAGTGTTATCGATTTGCAGT